TTTTGAAGATTAGTAATATAACTTTATTACCAATAAATTTTATTATCTTTTAACATATATGCAATATAAATTCTTGCTATTAATGTTGATAGCACTCCTGCACCCCAACCCGGTTATCCTCTGCTCCCCGACCTTTTTGAGCTCCTCAAGACTTGCAAAGACCTCTCGGCGGTAAATCTCCTACGCTCAAATCAGTAGGGAGTAGAGGAAAATTGTATATAACTGTAAGTAGTATTAGAGTTTTAGAGTGTGATCATTCCTACAATCTTACAAGATCTGCCTATTTTACGAAGTTATTAGCTTTCCTTACACGCTTTTCCCTTTGTCCGTCCTATCATTTACCTCATTTCAATCCTGACGCTTCATGTGTCCTTCATGAACTATTGTCCCTAACCGTTTCATTTGCTCGGTCTTCCGTTGGCTTTTGTTCACCATTATCCATCTGCTCGGTCCTTGTATGCCTTAGCTTACCAGTGTCCCATCAGCTCGTGTCACATGCACTTATGCTCAGTTACCCGAGCAAGTCTTCTCCGATTTATCAGGTCATGGTCGTACCCAAGCTGCTAGTTAAAGCCGAGAATGTTAGCGAAACCGAGCTAGTGGTGTCTTCATTAGATGTCGAGGCCGAGCTATTATAATTGAGGCAAGCTCCTCCTCGAATCCGAGCAGCTATCATAATGCCGAGCAGATGTAGGTAACACTTTAGGCTGAGCAGTTGCTAACGAGCCGAGCAATTGCTATGTTGTGTGAACCGGGTTATTAGTTGCCGGTTTATTGAGTCATTCTTATATGCTATATTACATGTAAAGCATATTGTGGAAGCTAGTTTCAATGAGTTTGACAATGACTGATATATTTACCAATCATTTCTCTTTATATATATTGTGTCGTGTATGTCACCATTATTTTCATATGAAGTTTGATGAAATTTAAATAAAACTAAAACCAAATTATTTTATACATCAATGAATGTAATACAATAATCAAATTTTCTATTATTATTCAATCAAGTCAAATGTGTTGATCAACAATTAAAAAAAAAAAAAAAGAAAAATCCAGAAACACCCGATATATATTAGAATATGCATATTTATATTTTTTAGATGCATTTGAGAAAAAAAAAAAAAAGAGACCAACCGACAAAGGGAGTATATGGTCTCGATTTCCGAGAAACTCGTGTCTCGCTGTCATGAGGTGGGGCACACAAATAATGATTTTTCTTTTCTTTTCTTTTTTTATTTTTTATTTTTTTTTAAATTGCATAATAATAATATACGTAAACGTGATTAGCACCGCGTTTTAGGCGGTTAATAAAATAATAATAGTGATAACTAATGCTCTTTTCAAAGGTAAGCGTGATTCCAAACACCGACTTTATGAGTTATGACTGATATATGACTAATCAGCCCATTGGATTTTCAAAATCCAATTTCAAACCCCTCCACTCATTGTAAAATTTATCACGCTTGTGATTCGAATATAATCTTTAGAATTTATAACACTTGTTATTGAAACTTTAAGATGTTAATAGATTATTGTAATTAAATTACTTAGTGCAAAATATACGCACAAAGTTTAAGGCGCTCAATTTGTGTTATAAAACGGTTTATAATGATTTGTGTTGCAACACCAAAAAATTAAAATAACAGAAGTACAACACAATATAAAATACTTTTTGGGGAGCGCCTCACTACTTTCAGAGCTCTTTTATTGATAACTCGATTGTGCACAAGTATATAGTTTTGGACTTACAAACTTCTCGTGGACTTAAACACTACGCTCCCTCGAGCAAAACATTGTATTTAATCCTAAATACTAATCACAAAAGTGTCTAAATAAAATAAACAAAACTACCTGAAAACGACATTAGTGTTCATAAGTTGTAAAAACATCAAAATATTGAACTGCGAACTAAACAGAAAAATAAAGAAAAACTTGAATTCTCAATTGAAGCTTGAATGCTATGAATAATGGGAATTTCAGCAGCCTTCAAATGATCTTCAAGTAGGGTTTATATATCATCATTAGGTGTGTTCTTCTCCAAGTTCTTTCTTTCCTGCGCGATTTCCTTACCACAGCTGCGAATCTCATCATAGAAAGTGAATATCTTCTTTGATCTCTGTTCAATGCATCCCTTTCCATCCTGCCATGCACGTTGATATCCTACAAAATATAACAAATAATAAAATCATGCAAATCTAATAGATATATATTATCCGAATAAATATAAATAAAAGAACTTCCATTTGTATTCATTATGCTTGTAAGAACATACCTTTTTTTTTTTTTTTTTGGTACAATGAAGGAAGGCTAAGCCTATCTAGCCTAGATTAAGACATTCCGATGATGAGAGACACCCAACCTATTGTGAAGCAACCACATACTCACCCCCGACGGAGGACTCACCAACCTCTGTAAACCGCCCGACACTTCGCCGCCAAGGAGGCCAAGTAATCGGCCACAAAGTTGACCTCCCGATACCCATGAACGATGGTCACATCCCAAGAACGAGTTAGGAGCTCCCTTATCCTACGCACCAACCCGCCATGCGGCCCACAAGAACGGTCGTGCTGCACCATATTGATAATACTTTCGTTGTCAACTTCAACACAAACCCTACGAACACCGACGTCCCAGGTCAGAAGCAAACCCTAGAACAAGCCCCAAAGCTCCGCACCCACAATAGAACAAAACCCTATGTTCATTACAAATCCGTGCACCCAATTCCCATAATGATCACGAATGACACCGCCAGCACTAGCCATGCCCGTTGATGGATCAAAGCTCCCGTATGTATTGACTTTAAACCCACCCACCGGCGGGCTGGACTACGAGATCCACCGCCGCTCTCTAACCCCGCGCGCATCAACCTGCTGGCCACCAACCGAGGCACATTGCATCATATCCATGAAAGAAAAGACTTCACCAAGACGACGGGCCATGGGGACATCAGTTTCTTGGAAGAGCTTGATGTTCCGCCATCTCCAAATCCTCCACGCCGTAAGACCGAATAATGAATCCCAATCATCCCGCACCCGGCTCAAATTTCTGGTCAAATTATCCAAAAGCCACCTGCGGACATCCAGCGAGAAGAACTATATTATTGTTGAACTTATTGCCATAAATAAATCTTTTAGTTAGGATAGGATTAATTTAAAAGAGCTTGGAACAATATTGAAATTATTATTATAGCAATAGTAAACGTAATTTTAAAGGGTTTGCTTATTTTATAAAAAAATAATAACTAACTTTAATAGAAAACCCGCTTAATGAGTCGGGAAAAGTAAATAAATAAATAATTAGTTTTAAAAAAAAGTTTTAGAATAAAATATCACTTAATGTGATTTTATGATTTATTACTAATAGATGTTATGTAACAAAATTAATAAAATATAATTACTATATTAGTCATAACTGATGGGAAAATTGAGGAGAAAAAGGACAAGAGTTTTATTATATACTAGTACGTAGCACGTGCGATGCACGAAACAAAAATGATAAATCATATAAATTAAATAAATGAAGAAATATTGATTATGTAAACATAGATATGATACAAGTATTATTTTTTACATTTTATGTTATATTGAAGATATATAATAATTTCATATATATTTTATATTTATTTCATCGGTTAAAAAATAACTTTCATTTAGTTCATATTAAAAATTTAGGAACATTAAATTTATCATACTCAAATTAGTAAATAGTACTCACAAAAATACTTATTTCTATGTTCTCTTGCTTATACTTTATTACAACATATTATTTTGTTTAAAAAATGATGGTAAATTAGGAAATTATGGCAAATAATATAAATAGACAATTAATTAAAAAAAAATGTAGTGTATACTATTATATTGAATGAAATTGTTATTTTTTAATTACTCAAAATTATCTCAATTTTTTAGAATCTAATAAAGTATGTTATAAATAATTTAAATTTCCTTATAATCTTATAGATCGTATAACAGTTCGTCGTCTGATTTATCATTATAATTTATAACAATATACATAATAAGTATTATTATATTTTTATAAGATAAATTTTACATCGTGTTCGATAGATGACATATTGTTTTTCATTATAATTTCTAATAATATACATAGATATTTTTTGTTTATTTTGAGTCATTAGTATAGATGTTCGAGAGATTATCCGTTAGTTTGTCATTATAGTTTGTAACAATATATATTGTATAAAATTTTACTTTTTTTATTTAAACTTATAGTTTGTAACAATATATATTGTATAAAATTTTACTTTTTTTATTTAAACTTATAGATTATATGACAGTTAGCTGATGACTCATTGGTTTAGCATAATTTACTACAATGCATTCCATAAATATTTTGATTTTTCATAATATAATGATTTACGTGGCAATTCGACAAAATGACCACTGATTTTCTTTTTAATATTATATATACTTGATCATTGAAATATTTTTTTACTTATATTTTTATATTTTTGCATTATTTTTTTAAACTAATGAATTGTAAACATACTAATTATTAGTTTATACTAAATATATTTTATTATACATATATGAGATTAATTTCTTATTTGTAAACCAATATTAAATAATCCATTTAAGTTTTTATTTTTATTTTTTTTTTATATGCAATGTTAACATATAAACTTATTAGTACTTTGATTTTTTATTTATACATATAATACGAGTGTGAAATAAAAAATCGTAAAATGAAGGTTAATTTAATATAATATATAAAATAAATAAAAAAATATTAAACTTTTAAGAAGAAATAACATTGATACTTAATAAGAAAAATAGAAAATTATGCAGACAAAATATGGAAATTAGATAAAAAAAATCATAAGAAATTTCTCGTCTATGAGTTTCAATAGTTATTTTAAATTTTATGTTTGATTTTTTAAATTACAAATACATATTCTTGGAGTGCATAATATATAATCATATACATTAAGTTATATTTTTTTAAAATCAAATAAAATTCTAAATACGATGGGGATTGAATCATTAAATAAAAAATTAAACTCAAATTATAATAACATCACATCACTAAAAATAAAAATAAAAATGAATTAGATAGAAATAAAACAATTAATTAATTTTTTAGAAAATTAATAAATAGATTAATATCTCATTAGTGAAAATAATAATAAAAATCTAACTACAAATGATAAAAGAAAAATTAGCAAAGAAAAAAAAAATAATGTTTCAATTTATTATAATAAATGAAAAAAAATTATTGATAATTTAGTTTTCATTTTATAAAATGTTATTTTTTCATTACTTTTATAGTTTATTGGACTCTTCGCAAATCTCACACATCGAACAGAGAATTCGCCGCTTCGCTATCGCCACCGCTTCCTACTTCGAGCTCACTGTTCACCGCCGCCTGGACCGCCGTCTGGACCGCCGTCGGGGTGTATAAGCTCTCTCCGGTGGCAAGTAGGTTCCCTAACTATTTTATTCCCTTTTCTAATTCCCTTCTACATCCGAATTTCTCTATGTTTTCTTTGTTCCTCTTGTTTTGATTATTTTGTTGTAAATTATGGAAAATTGGGAAGGAAGTCTGGTTAGTTAGATTCTCCGGCTATATTGATTTGATATTGTGATGTTGGATTGTAGCTGGGTTATTTAGTACAGAGGAGCTCATGGCCACTTTCTTCTCCAATAAAATTGAAAAAATTTGAAGTAAAAAGTAGAGTGGCTATGTCATCTATGTCCATACTGCTAATATTTCTTGTATTCATGGATTAAGATCCCATCATATTGTGCTGTATGTCAAACCATTTTACCTACTAAATAGCAGCCATGGGGGATCCAAACCCTAGCTCCAAAGATGGAAAAGCCGATGCTCGGACCATGCATTGCCCACACTGCGCCGGACCCCTCACGAAGGAGATGGTAAATCCAAAAAGGAAAATTGAATTTTTAGCAGTGATTTTTCCGATTTTCTGAATTTTGATTTGATTTGTATTGTAGGAGACAAGTGAATGGACTGTACCACCGCTCATCAGAGACAGCTTTTCTATGGTGTGAATTATGATTGAGCTCATAAGTTTTCACTATCGCAGCTAATTTTTTATTTTTGTATAGTTTTTTGATTTTGATATGGACGTGTGTTTCTTTTTTTGTCATTAATTTAGATAGGATCCGCGGTTGGTGGCACGGCTGGTGCCTTTTACGGCTTTAACCACGGTATGCTTATGTTTCAAGTACTTTAAGTATTGTTTGTGTATATGATTTCTTCCAGTATTGAGTGGCCTTTATATATACGTTCCATTAGTTACATTTACTTCGTGTGATTTGTTTCATTTCCATTTGTGTTTTCTTTTTAAGAAAAATAGGTTTTCTGGTTGTATCTCCTGGTTTTTGCATGTTGAAGGTCCTTGTGTGTGTGTCTATCTTTTAGCTACTAATTTGATGGGTACCAAGAAACGGTAAATAAATGAATGAATATTTGCATTTTTTTTATATACTTATTACTGGAAACCTGAGAGTAAACTACTTCATTTAACATTTGGTCTATGAGATCCATGTGTACTAAACAAGGATATTGATACATATACACTGCCTATCACGTCATTTAGCTAAGAAATTGCTTTATCACAACCTTTGTTCTGGATGTATACAACACTAACCTGTTGTCAATCATGCTGACTGAAAGTCATTTAACATGTTTTGTCACCACTCCTTCATTGTCCAGTTACTTACTAGAATCTCTGTATTTGAGTTTTTCTAAAATTTTCTTCCACATCATACTTATTTATCTAAAATGTTTCTTCAGCCATGCCGATTGTTAGGAGGTGGATTAAAGGGCCAATGTGGTTGCATTTTCTCGTTGGTGTAAGATCTTCCTTGCCTTTTCTCGTTACTCTGTTTATTCCTTCTTTTATTATCATATCAACCCTGTTATACATAATTACAGAACGCGCTGAGTCAAATTGGCAGCTTCGCAGGCTTTATAATTTTATGTGGCAAAATAATACCTTTTGTAGTATGGCTCGGATAAAAATTAGTAAATATTTTATACCAAATAACTTAGGTTTGAATTATAAAAAATACACATTTAATATATTTAAACTATTCCATATAAATATATTTATTATCTTTTTCCTATAATGTGCATGTTATCTCACTTTACAAATTTTGTGTTCTGTCAACATTATTTTCTCATGTATTTTAAATAATTTTTTTTTTCTTCTAAATAAAACTACTAATGCATATAAATTAGTTTTCAGAATTTAAAATAATATTGTTATTTCACTTGTTCTTTATTACTTATTTATTTTTTCCATCTTCAACAAAATATGTAAACATTTTTTTTGTCCATTTTTTGTTGTACATCAAACACCCGTGTAGTACACAGGTAGTACACAGGTATCGTACTGGTTATTATTATTTATTGATGCGTGTGGATGGTTCTGAGCGATTTAAGATTTTTATATATGATTTCTCTATCAGCTTAGGCTCTAGTTACATTGGAAGTAATAAAACCATATTCTGGTATTTGATTAATCACTGGATTCAACCGATTGCTATGTGCAACTTGCTTGTGTTATAGTCTGTTATATGCAACTTGATTGTGTTATAGTCGTATCTTGGTTTTGCATATCGAAATTCTACAGTCTAAGTTTTTCAACTTGTAAACATCTTTTCTTCATTCCTTTCCTTCCTTGCATGTTTTTTTGTTTGAATATTAATGAATTATGTTTTATTTGTGCAGGCCCCACCAGTCATTATTTTCTCATCGGGCTGTGCTGGATTAGCAGGTGAGACATTCAACTACCAGCATTCTCCATGATATATGATCATCTGAGTTCGTATAACACGCCTTGATTTTCCGAGCGTCTCACATTTTTTTTATGATTATTAATTTGCTTTCACTCAATTCATTGAAATTATGCTGAATACATGCTTCTACTTAAATGCGAGTTCGTATAAGCAACTTTTTTTATTGATAAGAGTGTATTTTTTTTTTTTTAACTGTATATCCAACCATCGTGACGAAATATGTACATGTAATCTTATTTCGTGATTTATCTCATGTATTCTTACCGGCCTAATTTTGCACAGGTGGCTCGATTCCAGCCTTGGCTCAACTTGCATCGTCGTCTTATCATGCTGTTATGACATCATCGACGCCATCATCACCATCTTCACCTTCATCATCGTAGAATATGAATGTTACCAAAGCCAAAAGTTGGAGTTTAATTGATTTGTCTACTGAACGTAATAATCCGGAACACCTAATAATACAATTTCTGTGTATATAGATAGGTTATTTATGTGGTTCTAATGTATGCAGGTAATTTGGAGTTGTGTTCGCGCGGTAGGATATGGAATTTTTGTTGACGATTTTTTTGTTCAACCTTATAAGTTTGAATAAAAGTGTAACGAAAGTCTAAGAATGGTAAATTTTGAGATTGTGAATGGAAAATTTTATGGAAATGTAATAATTAAAAAACATGATAAAATAATAAATGGAAATGATGGATAGAGGAATATGTAAGTGAATGACTAGTCAAAATTTGCGTTGCGCTTTTAAGTTGTGTTCGGTTTGGTCTTGTTGTAGGGTTGTAAAGAAATCAATCATTTTCGATTTGATTCATGATCCGTATTCTTTTAACTTGTGTTCGGTTTGGTCTTGTTGTAGAGTTGTAAAGAAATCAAACGTTTTCGATTTGATTCATGATCCGTATTCTTTTAAATCGTGTTAGGTTTGGTCTTGTTGTAGGGTTGTAAAGAAATCAAACGTTTTCGATTTGATTCATGATCCGTATTCTTTTAACTTGTGTTCGGTTTGGTGGTGTTGTAGGGTTGTAAAGAAATCAAACATTTTCGATTTGGTTCATGATTCGTACTCGTAAAAGTTTGAATTATCAAATTCAAATATGCACATATTTGATTTGAAATTATCGAACATGTTATTAATTAATAATAATGTAATATATATAAATATATTAAATTTTACAGAACATAAAAGATATATTTATATTTAATAAGGCATATTTAATTTATAAAAAGTATAGTTATGTTCAAAATAAATCTCTCTCTCTCTCTCTCTCTCTCTCTATATATATATATATATATATATATATAATATATAAATATATTTATATATTCCTAAATAATTTCTAAAAATAAATTTCGAATCAAATTGAATATATTCGATTATCTTAATCATATAAATAATGAATATCAATTTAAATTCAGAAATAAGTTGAATACGAATAGTCTCTATTCAAATATTCACAAATTCAAATTGAATAGTCAAGTGTTCACTTCGATACAATATAGTCTCGACGGTTTTGCTGTGGAATCATCAGATGACTCAGCTTATGGAGTCATCCACAGTTATTCACAAATGATGTATTGACGCGTGTCCTGTAATAAATGCACACTTGACATGTGTCAATACATAAAGTTATTAATGGCTCCATAAGGGAGCTATCCGATGATTCCATAGAATTTCTTATAATCTCGAATAGCTGAATATTCACTTCGATACGATAGTCATTTGACAGTCTTGTGTCCCATTTGGGCTTACACAATTATGTCTCGTATCTCCAATAGTTGAGTATTCACTTTGATGATAGGCATTTGACATTCTTGTGTCCCATTTGGGCTTACACAATTATGTCTACGTTGTGCTGATGTGAGGCATTTGTCAGTTTTGTTTCGTTTTAGTTACATTGTTGCTATGATTTAAAAAGAAAAAAGAATCTGACTAGTTAAATTTTTCAACAAATTTTAGTAAAGGTTATTTTTATGTTAGAAAAATCACATGTGAGAATGAATATAACATGTTTACTGAGATTATAAAATCTCCAAGCAAATTATATGCCAACTAGCAGCCAAAGTGAATATATGGATGCTTCTGACAATTAAAAACTGAAAAACATTCATGTCCAAAAACAAAGAAAAACAAACAAACAAACAAACAAACACGAGTCTCTAGTATCGGCCGATCAACACAAATTCGTCATCGTCCAAAACCCGAACCTCCTTGGCGCCGATGAAATTCTCCCTCCCGAGCTCCTCGACAATCTTCACAAACTCCACCCTCTTCTCCACCGCACGCGGCACATATGGTAGCCGAAAAACGGGCCTCACGACCCCAAGTTGGGCCAGAGCCGTGTTCAGCCCGATCGGGTTCGGCTCCTCGAACAGCCACTTCACAAGAGGCAAAACCCTCTCGTTCAACTCCGGATTCCTCCTCCCAAACATCAGCTCCCTCATCAACCCCGGAATCAAATTGCTCACGACTGAAATTACCCCTCTGCCCCCATGATCCCACCTCGAGTCGTGGCACTCGTCATCGTTCCCACTCCACACGACGAGCCCGTTGCTCACGTGCTCATCGACCCGTGCATGTCCCACACACTCCTTCACACCCGCAAGATTCGGGCTTCTGGCCAAGTCCCGAACAACGTCCGATGGAATATCTTGGCCCGTTCGGGAAGGGACATTGTATAATATGGTGGGGCCCATGTGGAGGACACTCTCGAAATGGAGGGTTAAGCCGTCGAGGGAAGTTTTTCCGTAGTAAGGGTTGATGTGAAGGGCAGCGTGCATGCCGACGGCAAAGCCTTGCTCGGTTGCGTGGATGGCTTCGCGAGTCGAGTTGCTTCCGGTGTTGCCGATGACTTTGACCGAGCTGCCGAAGCAGTTGACCGTGTGGCCGATGAGCATGATGTGCTCGTCCCACGACATGAGTTGACCCTCACCTGTGGTCCCGCCCACGATAACCCCTTCGGCTCCACCCTCGATTTGCATGTTGACGAGCGTGTCGTATGCCTCCAAGTCGAAGCGGCCGTCGGGAAGGTATGGAGTTTTGATGGCCGTTATTAGCCGGAGAGTCTTTATCTCGTCCACGTTTGTCCTGACATGACAAATATGAAATTTAGTTTTATCCGATTGGATATAAAAATTTCCACTCAAAATGGATTTTTTTTTTTGTTAACCGGAGTTAATTTAGAAAAAAAAAGTAATATAGTTAGTTGTGAGATTTTAAGTTTATATTAAAATAATATTTAAAATAAAATAATTAAAATTAGATTTGATGTAAAGTAAAAGTAGGAGAGATGATATAAAGTGATGAAAAGTTAAAATTATGTGAGTGGATGAAAATTGAAATAAAGTTGTTGTGACGTGTAAAAATGTTTGATTATTATTATTTAATTATATTGATAATACTGAAGATAGTGAGAGTGAGTTGAAGTTAAGTTAAATTTTGAGTTGATTGAATTTAATATCCAATCACGCCTCTAATGTTTTCCACATAACAAAACATCTGCACTGAATTGTTTTTTTATCGAATTTCTCCATAAATTTTTCATGTCAGCATTCTGAAGCTTAGCAACTCAAATGCCTTACATTGTTTAAACATTGTTACATATGTCTTACTACCACATTCAAACAAAGTGGAAAGAAAGTGAGAATCACTAAGCAGAAAAAATCGACTCCTGTTGAAGAGTAGAAATGACTATACGTCAAACAATTATAAACCTTTTAGTTCCTCGTGTGATTCGATTCATACAAAACTACAAAAAGGAAAGGTAAACTTGCTATGAATCCCATCAAATCATTCAGGAACTCATTGAAGAAAATTAGCTTCGCTTAAGAAAAAACTCGGCTAACCATTTACCTATTTTTAACTTCATAACTACGCATTGGGAGATGGAAATCGGACACCACAGCTGCTCTGGGTGACCTCCATTTTCGCACCCTAACTGCATCATCATAGTACATGAAAAAAAGACATCAGTACACTGCGTAAAAATGTTCGTCAATAAAATTAATAATAATAAAAGAACATGCTTTCGAATCGAGTTAGTCATATTGCTCCATATCTAACAGCCACCATTCAAGATCAATTACAATGAATCAAAGCCAACAATGCACCAAACAGCCGGGTATACAAATTTCTATGAGGAAAAAAAAAAAAAAAAAACTCACTCAGATGACACAAAAAAAAGGGAAAAAAATTAGAAGATCAATTAACATTTTCTTCATTTGTGTTCATTATTTCTTAACTCTGCTCGCAGACCTGTTCTAAAGCTAGTTTTATCACCTTTCTAAACTGCAATGCACCAAAATGAACAAACATGAAGCTCATACAAGACTGTGTATCTATAATTCTACAGAGAAATGCTTCAGTCCCGATTCGGAACCATTCCATCCTGTAACCGTTAAATCAACTATTCCAGACGGTTACATGATGATCTAACGGTTACAAAACCCGATATTGTGTACCATTTCTCAATTCTATATACCACAAGAATACAGAAAAATAGCTCGAACCCGTAAACATATGAACCAACAATCAACCAGAGGATCAGTTTAAAATCAGCTCCATAAATCTCAGGGTAGCAGAATATTATTTAAATGAATACAAAAACAAACATTTTTTCAATAAAAAAAATACGATCTTGAGAGTTAAAACCGATCTTCAGACAACCAAAACAAAACCCTTTTTCTAAGAGAGAAAAAATCGCCAATTTTGGAAATCAATTGGCGAAACAGAACAATCTAATAAAATACCTTGATGAGTAGTTTTGAGAGAAGAACATCCAATCGCCGACGACATCACAGCACACAATTTTTTTGTAAGAAGAATGGATAGTGGGTGAAAGCTGAGCTAAATAGGAGCTACAAAAAACCGCGCGGCTGAAAAAGCTTCTTGACGTCGGCGGCGCAGCCGCATTAGCCTTTTCTCCGACTAGTGAAGGTGGTGGTTTGGCCAGCGGCGAAGTGGGCGTAGGAAGAAAAGAGCTGGGAAGGCAAAAATGGGAAGGAAAATGGAGTTAAAAGCTCTAGGGAATGGCAATGGCGGCGGACTATTAGGTTTTTTTTTTCTTCTATTACAGGTTCAGGCGGTGAAAACCGGCCATGGTGGTAAACCAACAATTATTTAAAATATTAAGAAAATAAATTTTTTATTTTTTCTGATTGAGATATTTTAGTACTTTAATTTAATGTGACTTAGTCTCAATTTGTTTTTTTGGGATTCAAATAAATAATAATAAAAATACACATAATCTTCATTGGATATGGATCCAACCATTTTGATTGAATTTTTTTTATTCAAAGACCAGTACAGGGGAAGTACCGGTAGAAGGTTAGACCGGACAGGCGGGTAGCAACCAACTCGGATAGTGCCCTTAGCTAGGCCTGGTCTTCCGCCTTGTCTTTGCTTGTCTTCTCACCTTTGTTCTTTCTTTTCAGTTCTTTCATTCTATTTAAGCTGGCAAGGCTTGAGTTTGACAATGGTGCAATGAATGGGGCTTTAGAAGTCGCATACATGAATCCGAGAAGAAGACCCAACGAACTTTTCGAAGCGAAGTGAAGTAATAGAAGAATCCCTTAGCGACTTGAGACCGGCGCTTTGTCAGTTCATTCCGAAGTGGAAAGATCCGTTTCAAGAAATCCCCTTCGATCGGGTATACATGGCTTCTGACCCCAAAGTAGTACATATCCTATAAAGCTGTCACAATCTTTATTTGCCCAAAGAGAGGACTGGGGAAGTATGCCTAAACGATAGATTTTCTTATGGCCCTTAGCCCGGGAGAGATGCCAGGTTCCCAGTCTTGGCTTCCTTGTTGAGCAAGGCCATCTACAAGCATATCAGAGCTATTTGATTGAAATCACATCGTCATCAGTGTCCATTTTTGTATTAGAATCCGAAGGTCTGC